TTTTTTTTTTTTTTTTCCAATTATATCAAAAATAAAACTACATTACAATATATATGTGATAAAAAATTATTTAACACGATAAAATAATAAAACAGGATTCATGATGTTTATTTATATTATTTACATATGAACTTATGCAAACCACTATGAATTAGAAGTAAGAAAGTTTACCTTTTATAAATATCATAATGACGTGTATAAAACCATATACATTTATATTTATAAATATATTATTTTTACAATATTATTTAAAAATTCTATTTTTAAAATAACAAACTTGTATATATGTAAATGCATATCTATCGTATTATGACATATTAACTATTTATAATTTAATAATAATAATAATCATTTAAAAAGTAATTTAATACACAAATTTTCATAGAACATATATATGCCTCTATCTTAAAAGGTTGTGCAATAATAAAATGTAATATGTAAAATATTCTTTACATAACAAAAAACAGATTGCTAATTTTATACTTTTTATAACAGATATGACATAAATAAAAACCATATGTTAAAAAAAATGAAGTGTATATATATTAATACTAAACACTACTATTCCTAGAAATATATATAATTACATGAGTCTATGGTGCAACCTAATAGGAATATTGTAAAATTTTTTAATAATCATGGATTATATAAAATTCCATTGGAGTAGACTAGGTTATTAAATAATTAAATTATTCTACTTATGTATATGTATTTACTTTTATTATGATTAAGGGTGTATACTCACTTCTTAATAATTTTCTGTTTTATTATCATCCTTGTTATATATTCTCAATAAAAAATCATTAGCATTATTTTAACAAATTATACTTATAATGATATAATTGTGTATACAGTATTCCATATAGGACTACATTTTCCTTATAATAATATATTTGTTTAGAGCGAAAATTATTCATTTCATTTATTATACAGATATCTATCTATATTGTGTTGTGTGGTAATTAATGTATTCTATGCATATGTTATTATATTTTAAAATAAGTATTTGTTCTCGCCTAATGTGTTGTGTACATAATAGAATTTTATATTAACATTTAAGCACATATTTTTCGTGTAGATCACTTATTCTTATTATTAATTTATATTATGTAGCGTAATTATGTTTTGTTATTTAACCAACAAAAGAATAAATAGAGGAATTTTAAAAGTGTATAGATAATATGATAATTGTTCTATATCTAAAACCGAATTCAATGTTATCAAAACGAAATATGGTAAAAATTATGAGCCTTATATCTATGTATATTGTTCTATCTGTATTTGTTATTTAAAAAAAAATAAATGATTTCATAATATATATTACAGCGATGTATATATTATAAGCTCAAATTATTGGACATATGATGTCCTTAATAAAGAAAAAAAGAAAAATAAGTATGAAGAACAATTCCAGATATATATTAGTAGTTGTCTCCTATGTTATGTTATTGCAAGATATATATTAACTACGTTTTCTTGGAAGAACTCATATATATATGTATTAGATGGTTACTCACATTGAAATGTAAGTAATAAATGTGATATTTCAAAAACCATATATATGGCTGTACGAAGTAATATTTTTATGTATATAAAAAACACATTAATGTTGATAAATTTAACAATGATAAATATTTTTGTAATATATTAAGAAAAACTAGGGAATTATATTCTTCACAAATCGAAAATAAAGATAGGATCACATATATATTACCATTGTTCCTCTTATTCAGGATATATAACACAAAATCTCATATTTTTTTTCTAGTTGTTGTAAGATTTATAATACTACTTTTTATATTTAATTTTAACGATGTTACTTAATATATAATTTGTAATATAAAATAATTAATTTCATTAACATTAATTCTATATATATTTTATCAAAAATTAAATATGATCTTAAATAAAGAAAATATTTTATTACGAATTAGTTTACAAATTTTGTGTCATGCTTCCGAAATACAATAATATGAAAAAGGAATTTCAACAATAATATATATAATGAATTCCATATTTTACAACAATATATATTATATAAATAATACACAATTATTGTAAAAAATTTATGAAGTCTTCTTCATATATTTCATGACTGCAATTATATGTCACAATTCTTTATTATATTTAACATTATGAATATGGTACGCTTCTATAATATACTTATCATTATTTTCCTTGAAATTTTTCTAATAATATGGATATAATTTATCACTAGATATTTTCTATTTGAATACTTATAAGATATATATTTTTTCCATTAGATCCTTAATACATTATTCACTCTTTTTTCAATTTTTTATTTGACGCATCCAAGTTTCACATTACTCAATAATCCATTCATATTACATGTAAATGATGAGATAAACCATAATGTAAAAAATAGTCAGGACTTTCGAAATGAAAAATTCAATTATTAAAAAATGTAATAATGTCATGATATGCATTATATTTCTTGATATTTCTTACTTTTCAAACACTTAATTCATATCTACATATATAAATAATTCGATTCAGCACCATTAACTCTTATAAAAATGATTACAATTTGTATATTTAATTTTTAGCCTTTCATTATTTATTAGCCTTAACATGATACTTATTTTGATCCCCCTACATGTCTTAACAACTTCATACAAATTTATATATTAGTTTTTTTTTTTTTATCGGTAATATTTTAATGGATGTTATATTATAACATGACAACATCACATAAAGTACCTTCAACATATCCATTATAATCGTTTAATTATTTTTAGATATTTATTCTATATAGTTTTATTATTAATTAATTACACTTTTGATTAAATTTAACTTGATGATCATTCAAAATTTGTCCCTTTTTTCATTATACTGTATTACATATCATCCCTCATACATTATCAATTCATAAAAGGCTCCCTCAGTATCAAAATTTAATGAATTTATTTATAAAATATATACGTAATAAATATATAGATAATGTAATATTTAACTGTAGGTTCATTAATAATAACTTAATATTTTCCTTTATGTTACCATTATGTAAAATGTTCATATATATTTTTTATTTACAGTATTATACATTAATATCCATTTTAGAAATAAAATAATGCATTACATAATATTTGTGTTAGTTAATTATATTTTTTCTCAAGTAATTTATCATAAAATAAGGAAATATTAATTTTTAATTATTTTTACTTGATATGCATGGTTCAATTTATATCACAATAAATTATTTTTTTAACTTTATGAACTTATAATTTTTATAGATTCCTAAGAGTAATAAAAATAATTTTAAAGTCAAATTAGCATTTAACACGTTATATATGAAACTAAAAAAATTTCATACAAATATTAAGTGAATTCTTAATTATGAATGTAGGATTTTGATTTATACAACGTATTTTTCTTATTCCAATAATTTGGATATTTTATAAAGAACATATAATTTTAAATTAATATAAATATAAAAAAAAACAAAGAAAGTTCATTAGGATAAAAATTAGTAATTATTCTTAAAATTTTTTAATTCTTAATAGTAAATATATTATTCTATTAAAAAATACTATATTCATAAAAGTAATTATTACGCCAAATAATTACGAGTTAATACGCTATATACTTATTATATAAATTTATTATTCCTTTAAATTTATAGTGAAAAAATGATGAAAAATTATAAAAAATTCAAATAAGAAAATATTATATTTTATATTACATCGTCATGTACAAGAAAAATATTTTATGTTCATGTCGATTTCTATTAGCACAATGAAATAAGTATTCTTCGTATTATAATAATGAACACATAAAATGCTTCATATGACACAATTAGAAGGAATAAATTTGATTGATATAATGCGCATAAATAAAATATTATTTAAATGTTATAAGGTGTATTTAATTCTTCAAAAATCCCTAATTAAAATATCTTGTAAGGTCTTTATATTATAAAATTAAGTTTCCTTATATATATACTTTTAATTTCCATAAAAACTTATAATGTTTGACAGATTAAAATAAATAATCATTTGAGATGTAATATAAGAATAAAAATTGCTTAAATAATTTATAATTCATGTTTGTGTATTATATTAATATATTGATGGAGTTTATAATATCTATATTTATAAGAAATCAATTACTACCACAAAATAAGTAATGATTTATTTATATGAGATAAATAAAAAAAAAATATATATTCATTTAGAATGTTATATATAATTGTATTTTAAATGCATTCTATGTCTTACATATTATTAGATCATAATAACACATAATGAGTTGTGTTATTTCTAGTTTTTTTTATATATAATGATAATTCAATATAATAGGCTTGTATTCTTTTTTTTATAAGAATAACTAATTAATCATTCCATAATCCAGAATATTAATATATTTCAATATATTTTATATAATTGATTAAATAATGCATATCTCTATAAAAAATATAATTCATAGAAATATATATATTATTATATATAATTATTTAAACAACTTGTTTTCCTGTGGTATTCTTGTACTTATTTTATCAGTATAATTATATACTTTTTATATTGTGTATGAATATTATACTATATAGACCCATATATTTTTTTTTATACTAAATGTTGTAAATTATCCTTAAATTTGATCCTTTATATAATTAATTAATATATTATATATTACAATGATTCATACTTTTTTATTATTCGTACAGAAAAAAAATTATAAATAGGTTCGTTCCTTTTTTTTATCCGTTCTATAATTAAATAAGACGAAAAAATTCTTTTACATCAGAATTAGGGTTTTAATATTAAAAAGCACTATAGATATATCCATACAATATATTCATCTATCAACGCATTCTGTAATGAAATATAAGCATATATATAATGACTAAGGATATAGTATATTTTAATTAATATAAAAGAAGTTATGACATTATTATATTTTTATATACCAATTTTTCGTAAAATTAATAAAAAAATTTATAGTCATTTATAATTTTTCTCAAAAAATAATTTTTATTTCTTTCTAGTATAAATCTGTTAGGGATTTTCCTCAATGTAAAAATATTATGGATAGAGTAATACAAAAAACTGATACCGTGAAAACAAGTAATTGTGATATAGAAGAATTGAAACATTTTAAAACCTCAAATTTTGATGTTATTAAGAAGTGCAATGATGTTCAAAATTTTATGAGTGAAATACAAAATAATACCTATAACATACCTAAAGAATCCAGTTGTATATATTTGTATTATTGGCTATACCAAGAAAATAATCGTGTAAACAACAGTAACGAAATTAAAAAAATTTACGATGCAGTGATTAAGGTTTTTCATGATGATCTAATAGTGCAGTGCACAAATTATAAGGATATTATAATTGTAGATGATGAAATGTTAAAGTTCAATGATCTGCTTGACATGTACACTAAACTTAATAATTCTTGTACTCAAAAGTGTCAATGTTTAAAAGGATGTGCTGACTTATATATAAAACATGTGCAAACATGTAAAAAATATAATAACACATATTTTTGTAAAGAATTATTAAATTTAAAAGGACAATATGAAAAAGGTATGATGAACGAAAATTGTGAACCTGGAGTTCCCAAAACATTACCTTCCCTTCAGAGTTATAATATAATAACACTTACATTAATTCCAGTTTTTGTAACTTAAGCAATATCATCTTTTTTATTTATCTTGTATAAGGTTAATAATTATGTTATATTTGTATGTTTATACGGCATTAGTATATTTTTAAGTAATTTAAAATGAACAAATTTTTAGAAAACAATGACAAATTTTATATATTATTTTTTTTAATTATGAGTTAGTTCACACCATATGGTTCAAGCTTTCAATATGAAGCTATGAAGAAAAGAAAACAATATAATAATATAGATAAAGAAAAGATTGTACTGGAAATATCTGAAACCTCCACTTGTGATTTTAGAAATAGTAGATATCATATATTATATAATTCTAACTAATTTTATTGTTTATAATATAATAAGAAGAAAATAATATATTTAAAACAGATAAAAAATTCTGTAAGATATATTTACAATGATACTTTTTCCAAATTTATAAGAAAGAGAATTAATTATCATTATATCGCACAGCATAAAGTAACATTATATTTTTGTACTCATGATAATAGTGCTCAAATAAATAATATATGTAGTTTTTAAAGTCCTATTCACAATGCATATAAATGCAAAACAAAAAATACAAAAGATATATTTCTCGTTTTTTTTTCCTGTTATATATAATTATTTAAATAAATATGACACTTCTACTTTAATAAGTGAATAATACATATAAAATAATAATATGGAATATTAGCTAATATAATAATCCATGTTGAAATTACATATATCTTTAATTATTAAATATAATTATACTAAATTGTTAAAAGAGCTTGTTATATTTTATATCATAAGGCATTTTAACATGAACTTTTAGTTACTAAATACTAAGGTTAATCATGCATATAAGTATATATATACTGATTATATATGAAATTCACGTAGAATGATCTAAATATATGTATATTATTCTATGTCACATTTATGATGTTGATAAATAATATCATATATAATTTTTAATTTTTAGTTATATTAGAATTAAAGATTTTTTTTTATTTGATACAATCTTTTTTATTTATTTTATTTATGATTTTTTGTGCAAATTTGTATTCGTTTTTTTGTGATCTTTTAAATTATGATTTTAATATATTTTATATAATATAAATGATAATTAGTTAATTACGCATTTTTTTTATAAAAAAAAAAAAAACAATTATATTTATCCTTATATTAAGGATTTTTGCCATGTATATTATTTATGTCATATATACTAGCACATAAGACATGTGCGAATGAATGGTTACTTAATCTTATAGAAATGAGATAACGCATTGTATATAATTATAAAATATATAAAACATATATATCAAAGTCTATATTTTTTATTAGAAATATAGCATTCATTTTTATGTGCTTCAATGATAACTCTCATATGTGCATAATCGCAATTTTAATATAGAATACATAGCTAATATTTTCAAATCTAATTATATAAACAACATGTAAGGCAGCAAAAATATATACAGGAAATAAGAAATATATAAAAATTTTCTGTGTAGAAGGAACATAAATAAAAATCCAAATTAATCTACTTAATTATGTATTTTAATTATAATACTAATTTTATGAAAAATATGTGCGAAAATTGATTTGTTATGTATAATTCAACGAAAAGATAATTACTTGAAAAACATAGAACAAACAATTTTTATTATATTTTAGCAGATATATATTACTTATTCAAACAATGTATGAATAGAAATTTTTTTAATTACAAATTAATATAAATTACTTGTGTTCATTTTTTTTATTTATCTTCGAAAATTCATTATGTTTATTTTGATAATATTTTTACTGAATTATGTGTATTTTTTTGTATTGAAGGTTTTTGTGTATAAATAATGTATTAGTCTAATCTTTTTTAATATAAATTACTAAATGGTGTATATTTATTTAAAATATAATTTCTATTTTTCAATATTTTTTGTTGTTTATTATATTTTACTTTAAATTCATTTTCTAGTTCATAAAAATTCGAAAAATTTTCTTTATTATGCTATATTATAATGATTATTTTAAGTGTACACGTTGAAACAAAAATGTAATTATAGTAATATTCAATATCATTTCATTAATACATAATCTTTTAATATAAAAAAATTAGTACATGTGAATAATAATTGAAAATATATCCGTAATAATAATACTAATTACATTATTTAAATAAATAAATCTCGTAAAATTTTTTAAATAAGACATCTAATTATATAGTTTTATAATAATTCTGTAATATATTAACTTCTTTTATTATATCACCATTTTGTATTCTACTAATCCTCTGTTTAATTTTATAACCATAAATTTCATCAATTCTTATTAAAATATTCTGTCTGTCTCTAAATATTATATAAATTAACATAGGAATATTATTCTTCTTCATTTTTTAGTACTATATAATATTTATATTATTCTATGATTTAATTGGTATCCTCACATGTTCTCTGTCATTTCTACTTTCACATTAAATTTCACCTTCAATAATAATTCCATTTAATATTGCATTATTATATTTTGATTTATTATTATTGCGAAAAATGTATACTTTTAATTTACTTTTGTTAATGCAGTAATATAATTGTTAACATATAATAATATTATATCCAGTTTGCCATTTATATTTTAAGTTGTTCTTATGTTTATTATGTTCTACTAATATTCTTTTACATTTCATGTAAATTTAAAAAAACTGCAATAAATAAAATATGGTTGTGCTATAAAGGTAATTTTTGATTTCCACTAATTCAAATTGATTAACAAATTTTTATAGAGTACTACATATAATATAGCATATAATTTTTCTCAATATACATAATAAACACTTATTATTATATAGTGACTCTATATAACACTGTCGTTTTATGTGATGTATAATTGTGGATAAGTTATATAGAGAATATGTATTTATATTTAGTTGAATGCGGTTACAGTTAATGAAATTTTCCAATATTGTTCATAAAGTACAAGTATTATGCATTATTATGTTTTATGAGGTTAATTTGAAATATTAATTTATGTAATATCTTATGTGTATGGACAACAATGAAAGTTAAACTTATTAAAAATACCCACTTATGTGTTTTATATAATGATAGTTAACGAAAAAAAGAATATAAATGCACATTAATATAACTCTACGTATTTATATTATTAACGGAATACTTTAATCCACAATTAAACATGCCACAATATATAGTCCATATTTTAAATCATAACTCATTCTTATAATATATGTATTATGCAATAACATATAAAGAATTAAAACTAACAAAAAAGTCTAGTATATTATATTTATAAATATATAAAAAAGAACTTACTTTATGTTTTACATATTTATAAAATAAAATATAACATCTTTTATTTTGTTTTTAACAAGAGAACACTAAAATATATATCACTTATATGAATAATTATATTATTCATATATAGCATTAAAAAAAGTCATGAAATAACAAAAAATATATACACATCCTTTTAATGATAGGCTACAAAAGAACTCAAAAGTTATAAATAGATCATATTAGACAATTTTACAATATTTTTATGAACAAATTTACGTACAAACTAAGACATAAATAATTATATGTTTTTGAATATATTTATATACATTTTTTGCGCAAGGGTATACATATATCTATAAAATATGACAAAAATTTAAATAAAATAATTAAGAAATATCCTAAAATCACACATAATTTATATTTTATTTAAAAAAATTAATTTATATAGAATAATAATTTAAGCGTAAAAGTAATAATTAAATATAAATAAATTAAAATTATATAGTTACCTTAAATTTACGTTAATTTTATTAACATTTTGTATTATAACAAAAAAATAATTATTGTGTTTATGTTAAAACGTATAAAGGTTCATACATATATATTAACTTATCATTTTCCATGCACATCTTTGCAGAGAACATAATATTATTTAAACTTCATTTTATCCTTCTTTCTTATTAATCTTTAATATTTTACTATTTTTATCTTTATATAAAATATGATTGCCAAAATTATATATGATAATGTTATTAAAATAACAGACGGTATAATATAAGACTCCTTATAATTTATGACATGTAATAATAATTTAATATTCTCATATTTTTGAATATTTTTTAAAGCAAAAATAATTACTCCAAGTAATGGAATTAAACAATAAAAGAAAAACAAACCCCTGTTTCAAGCATATCTTTTTCTTTAGTTTTTCGTTATTGCAATTTTCTTCTGTATCTATTTTATTTATTGAATCGAATATTTTTTTATAACTTTAACATTCTAATTTCCCTAATCCTTTCCTTTTATGATATCTGGATCTATAACTTCTTATGTAAGCATCCATTTCTTTTAAGGCCTCTTAATTTATTTTATTATATGTTCGTGTTTTAACTTCTTCATATATTTTTTCTTCTTTTAAGTTTCCTATACGCTATGACACAAAATTTCCTGACTTTCATGTATGTCCAATGATCATTCAATTCTCATTGCACATACTTCACTCATTTTACATGAATTATACAACGATTCACAAACTGAGGACACTAATAAGCATGTGTGTATTATAATTACGTAAAAAATAATAGAATGGGATAAAATTATATGTTCGATCTAATAATTATGAAAAAAAGTATAAATACACACTTAAGGTATGTATTACCACATAATACCTATAATGATTTATGTATTGCATAATTAATAATGTGTAAAATATATGAAAAATATTGAACACTTTTTTTATCATCATTAAATATTTCTTTATTATTATTTAATTATTAATAAAAACACTAATTATATATAATTTAAATAATAGTTAATTATTAAAACATTATTAAAATGTTAATATATTTTATTGGAATAATAATAAAAAATAAATACTTTATACACTAATTATAATTATATGCGATACATAACTATACATTTACATTATTAAGGGTGATATATTAGTATTAATTAGGAATTTGAATTAATTTTTAAACGAATTATAGTAATAAATATATAAAAATATAACTTTTAATTATTTTATTGTCCT